GATAACGTGATTTCAACCACTCTCCCAGGTACGGGTTGCTACAATATTGCAACATTGGTTTTATTGTCGGCGGCGCTAAAGCTGAACGAGTGCGACACTTGCGGCTCTCTTATACGATTTGCCTGAATCGTTTCTAAGGAAGCACAAACCAAACGGCCGGCCATTTTTAGGGCCATGACATATTTCAAAAAGAGAACTACCGTTTCTGCTTAATATATATTTTTATAGACTTGCTGACTGTTATGATTCAGAACGCGCTGCCCTGAAGGCAGAAGGCTGTCACAGCTATTTTGCGTTCACCCCTTGTTTTACGCAATTAACAATTTTTATAAGTATCACGACAGACTTCAAGAAAGTCAACTGTTAATACAACCACAGTCAACGAATAGAAAATATTTTTTTTTTGTGTAGAAAAAGACCCCCTGGGCGTGTGCCCAGATATGACCTCAACTCCTTTATTGTGTCAAAAGTGGGGGGTGGGCGTTTGCCCAGGCATGGGCTCTTACCCGGATAAGTACGGTAACTTATTAAGACAATAGTCACATTTATTGTTTATATAATCTTATTTGCTACTAATAGAATAAATACAGTAGTTTTATAATGATGTACTGATAAACCTACCTTTACTTCAGGTTTAGCAAACTTCTTAGATTTTGTAATGACATTTTGGAAACAGTTATAAACCTCTTCATCAGCCAGTTTATCACCGAAACATACAAAGTTTTCTTGTAACTTTCGTATGCCCTTCTCACTGTAGTTTAACATGGCTAAACAAAATGCCAGGTCTCGTACTTGACGATCAGTTCTATAATAAACATTAAGCAATCATTAAAGTGACAGTTGTCACACCATGTCTTGTTCGACGTGGGCCCCATACAACATATGAAAATTACTTGTTTACACAAAATGCAAACATCCATGACAACTGACATTTCATACTAAATTCAGTAGAATTTATGACTTTTTCTAACGTCTAATTGGATTGTTATGTAAAAGAACATTTTTCTATCGGAATAAGCTTTGTACCATCTGAAGGTCATATACAAATTAAATTACTTTCTATTATTTTTCAAAATAAAACAAAACAAGCAGTTGCCAATGAATTGGATACAAGCACTAAAAATGCCACAACCCCTTGTTCCTCCATATATAACATTTCTATGCTCCATTTTGATCAAGTCCATGTACCAGTTCTACAGTGAACTAATGAATTTGACTGCCAGACAATTTAACATGTGTGAATCTCTGATGTCTATGTTGACAAAATACAAAACATATATCGCAATTCCAAGTTATAGTGCATTGTGCGATAGTTGGCCACCAGTCGTCCAATTTTGAAAAATCTGAAAAGTCTGCCACCGATATTGAACAGAATGGGCAAGCACAACTTAGAGATTACGCTCTACATATATAATACGTAGGTTTTTAGGTTATTTTTGAATCCAATATGGCCGACAGTCAGCCCTGTTTGTATCTGAACAGAAAAAAAACATATGTATACCATCATGCATTAACCATGTACCATGTTTGGGGAATATTGGTCCATGAACTTCTGAGAGAACTTCTGAACAGATGGACAGAACCTAATCCATAAGCTCCAAGACTGTTCAGTCAGGGCTAAAAAGGGATTTACATTTACTCTAAGAAATATTTGGGCATATTAGCATACAGTACAGTGTAATTCAACTTTCGAAAACTATCATCAAAACTTATCATTTTTAAAGTGAGTATCATTGTGACCAATAGTTTCAACATATTCTTTGTAGTATTTAGGCAGAATTATTCTGCACAATTGTAAGCTAGCATTAATCCATACAGCTAAAAGCTAGCGTTAAGGTCGTTCGCGGGCATTCGCCGTAAAAGTGCGCGTAAAAGTCAACGATATTGAATACACTTGAAAGTCGGACACCCTAAGCTTAAGCAGTTATGCTGTTCCAATATGGCGTCGCGTGAAGTTTTTTCGGCCTCTCGATGCGCTAAAGGGAAGTTTTCTTCTCGGAAAAAACCGCACCAACTGAAAAAAGTTGGGAAAAGAAGGCTATTTGTGGCTTCTCCTTGTAAACAATTGATTACCGATGAAATTAGCGACGCGAGAGTTACTTTTGTAAGCCCTGATGTGGTGAGTACCAGGGTTAGTATCACCGAGTCCGAGTCTAACGGTAACAACAACAATGACAGTGACACTGTCCCGAGCGCTGGTGGTTACGTAGATCCGGATAAAAATGATGTTTATGCCATGAATCGCATTTTATGCAATGTAGGTAATGAAAATATTGATGCCGACGTAAACCTAGCAAGTAATGATCATCATACGGCTTCTCCTACGAAAAATAACAGCACGCCAGGGACAAACAGCATTCCGATACCAGCGAGTCGAAGTTGGCAGGACGGCCGGAGAGTTGTGGAATTGGCTGTTTTAGCTGAGGGGCTGGAAAAATGCCGTTACTGCTCATTTGGACCATTGTCACTCATGTTTTGTAAAAAAGAAACCAGATATGGTCTAGGAGGTATTTTACATGTTGAGTGTCACCATTGTCAAAATATCAACCAACTAACAGAGATATTCTGGAGTAAACCAAGGATTACTCGTGATAGTCGAATCATAAAAAATATTAATGACTATTTAAACACTATTTAATTATGGAGATTTATAACAATAATTTATGATTTTCATGTAATTTGTTCATACTTTCATTATTGTGAATGTAAGTTACTGGAATATTGAAAATTGTTTTGTTAGATTTAGAGGTAAATTTATTTTTGTACTGAAATGTCTATTCAATTTTTTTTATCTCTAATATTTTATCTGCAACATTGAATCTTTGAAATGTACTACCTGTATGTAATAATTAAATGATATTGTGTCTGGATTTAAGACATTTATTTATTTATTTATTTAAAAGCATAAATAAAATATTCTTGTTTCAAGAATTTTACATTTAAGGTACTACTTCTCATTCTTGAATTACAATTTATTATTACAATCCTATATTCAGCTATGGCTTATGTATGGCCATATAATATTAAACAACTTAGGGGGTCAAATATTTTGCAGTCATGATGGAGGCCTGGAAATTCTGTTTTTAGGCCTAATTTTTGCTTCTACCAGAAATACTGGATTGGATACCCCAAATTTTTATTAATTGAATTAAAAGAGCTAAATTCGCTGAGTATTTTATTAAATTTTAAAAGAAATCTGACGAAAACTTTTCTAGATTTAGTAAGGAGAGTAACATATATTAACGAAAAATTAACCTTGGTATGTTTTTAAAATTGCAATTTTGCCCAATGATGTGAAAAATACTTCACAAATTAGTATTTCAATGGCCAATTGTCAAATTGAGACAATAAAAATTACGATAAACTGTGTTGATGGTCACTTTTATAAAACTTTTATAGATATTAATGAAACTTAAAAATCACAGTGTATGCAGATTTTGTGTCACTTTTTTGACAAAAAGTAACTCGGTACCATACATTTTTATTTTGAATTTAGCAATAATATAGTGATTGCAAACTACATGGAAAGTTTTATGAAAATCTGGCGAAAATTTATAAAGGGAGCCAAATATAAATCCATACAGCTAAAAGCTAGCATTAATCAATACAGCTAAAAGCTAGCATTAATCCATACAGCTAAAAGCTAGCATTAATCCATACAGCTAAAAGCTAGCATTTAATTCATACAGCTAAAAGCTAGCATTAATCCATACAGCTAAAAGCTAGCATTAATCCATACAGCTAAAAGCTAGCATTAATCCATACAGCTAAAAGCTAGCATTTAATCCATACAGCTAAAAGCTAGCATTAATCCATACAGCTAAAAGCTAGAATTAATCCATACAGCTAAAAGCTAGCATTAATCCATACAGCTAAAAGCTAGCGTTAATCCATACAGCTAAAAGCTAGCGTTAATCCATACAGCTAAAAGCTAGCGTTAATCCATACAGCTAAAAGCTAGCGTTAATCCATACAGCTAAAAGCTAGCGTTAATCCATACAGCTAAAAGCTAGCTAACTGCTCAGATAATACAGTAACTGTACTTGCTTAAAACATTGATGACAGCTTTGACTTTGACTAAGCAGATGGCAAATGATTATGCATACTGTAAAATTAGTAATGGTGTGTAGAGGTTATGCATGAGGCAAGAGAAGAGAAACTCACCTTGTTGTTCTGAATCTATGGCATAATTTTTCAACTAGACTCTCACATTGTTTGTCTTTCTGAATGAAGGAAAACAAGTATCTGAAAAAATAACAGAAATTGACAGAAAGTATAGTTTATTTGGTTGTGCAGCACATTGATTGATGTTGTCATTATTGTCACATTTAAGAATGCATTGCTGTATTGCCAAACATGAAAACTGGGACATAATACAATACAATTTATCAAGTGAAAGTTTTCAAACATAACAATTGCACCATTAAGTCTTGTCTATATTTATAGACATGTATTAGTAACAAATGCTTTTACATTCACTCGAGATCTCACATAATGCGTGGAAGGTGCATATCAAACTATTGCAAAAATTGAATGATTTTATTTTGAACTATAATTTTTTTTTATAAGTTCAATGTCAAATGTTGAGCTTTCAGAGAAAAACAAACTGAAATTTATAATCCGTTCTCACCTCATTATTATCTTGAAGTTTTCTTCTTTGACACCCACCTCAGGATCAGATAACCGGCTTATTACGTCTGGCATGATATTATATACAGCGTTACCCTGAAGAATAAAACAAACCATATTTAGTTCAATATGTAGTGACAAAAATACGAAAGTGCATTCTTAACTTGCAAGTTAAACATGTTTTCTCCTCAATTGATTTTAGGGGTACACCACAAAATTGTTATGTAATCCCATTTATACAAACGGTGTACAAATTTTTAAGATATGCACAAAAACATTTTAGGCAAACTAAGATGCATATGAATACAGTCCAAGCGTAAGTTAACATTAAGCTGACTTAGAGCTAGCTTAGCTTTGCTTTCATCGTATATCTACATTGTGTAATTGAGTAATTTGTGTAAATATGTCTTAATCTTAATATGTAGTAATCTTAGGTACATACTGGTACTAAGAATGAGTTTTATATATTGATAACAATAACAAATATGAAACATTTTTAAAATAAGCAAAACTTGGTCAGCTAGAAGTTATATAGGTCAGTCCGTGAGTAACTTAACTTTCAAGCCGGCTATCAGCATTTTAATAAAAATAATAAATTTTTAAGTGAGTAACATTGTAGAATTTACTAATGTTACTAGGCAGAGATTACTGTGTATAATTTAATATGTGTTTTTTTTAAAGCAAGGAGAGCTAGGTTTAAGCCAGTTTAAGGCTAGCCTAAACATTAAGTTATGCTTGGACCAGTATCTGATACGTAAAGCGGATCAGAATGTACAAATGTACTTTAGCATGAATTAATGGAACTCAATAACTGATAACAATTATCTGAACTACTTTCAGTACTGGTAATTTATTCATCAGAGTCATGCAGAAGTCTGAATACTGTAAAACCTTTTATTTTTACTATTTTAAAGTTTTGATCATTTTCACTGGGTTAGAATCTGACAGGCAAACAATAAGTTCTATTTTTCACATGAATTTAATTTAATGCATTTTACTTATCAGCGAAAATAGCGAAATTAAAACGCAGTGAATAATTAATTTACAGTAGCTGAAATTCTAATCATACAAGGCTACATATTTTACCTTCTTAGCAAGTTCATGGAAGAACATTTTTGACATATTAGAAATCCTATCGTCTTCGTCTACAATGCAAATAGCCATTTCACTTATTTGACCTTTGACCTTAACCATGTCATTCAATATCAGGTGAGTCAGGATAGTAAGCGTGTTTTTGCGAACCATTGGTGAATCATCACGTAGTCTAAAAATGAAAAAGTAATAAATATTACTACCATACTTTGTAAGATTAACAAATCATTTGTTCAATCTACCAATCATATGCATGCCAAAGACTTGGAATACTTTCCACTTCAGAACATTCAAATGTTATCTCGAAATATCAGCACATCCTGGTTTTGATTACTTATTTAGTGTTTATGTGATTGAAGAAGCATACTAACCACTCATATATTGTACAATTATTTTCTGTAAACAGGTTCTGAGCACATTTACAAACTCATAAATGAGGGACAGCTCAGGTCATGCATACAAATGTATTGAGAGGTACACATCAGGTGTCCTGCCATACTTTGCGACAAGTACAACTGAATCTTTTACGTGCAGTGACACGCCCCCATCTGAAAGGACGTCATTCTCTCAAATACCGTTACGAATGCCGTGAACCTAGCACATTAGCATGATGTACTTTCTTTTCTAACTTTTAAGTGTGTAGCCGACCATGGGAGTCAAACCTACAATCTCTCTGATGATGTAATCTACTACTTGGATTTAAGATTTGCTTAATTTCAGATTGTCACTGTGAAATCTTTGTTAAAACAATTGTTAAGGACTTAATTTCACATATTGTTTCTGTTAAAGCTGTCTCAGATTTCGAACCACTTTAATCCTGGTTTTACCTTGCATAGAGATTTGGTGTCCATGGCTCAATGAGGTTAGGAAATCTAAACGTCAAGTCACCCAATGCAATGATAGTGTTGGCACGAATTGTAGCTTCACTTGACTGGAATAAATCAAAAACAAAAAAATAATTTACATAAAATGCTAAATCGGTTATTTCAGTGACAGGCAAGAGACTCAACACACAATTTTGAACACAAGACAGTAATATATCTTTACTCTTGACCAGTCAAGCATACATGTACAGCTTGGACCACAATAACAATGATATGATGACAATAGCCACAACAGACAAAGTCCCACAATATATTTCACTTTCCATTTTAGCATTACAGACAAAGCAAAAATAGAATCTTCTTTTTATGTTTGGCATTACGTTGAGCAATATTAAATGTTGCACTGACACAAAAAAATTTATTTATTTTTATGATAGCATGATTTTTTTGTTTTTACAGATCTATAAGAATAAAAATACCAACAATTCCAAGGACATAAATGGAGAAAGTCGTACAAATTAGTAAAGTGTCTTTCAGTGCAAGTGATGTCACCATTCTATGTGGTTCAGTGCAAGTAATGTCATCATTTTTGTGGTTCAGGGCAAGTGATGTCATCTTTCTTTGTGGGGTCAGTGTAAATGATGTCAGCATTCTTTGTGGTTAAGTGTAAGTGATGTCATTTTTCCTTGTGGTTCAGTGCAAGTGATGTCATCTTTCTTGGTGGTTCAGTGCAAGTGATGTCATCGTTCATTGTGGTTCAGTGCAAGTGATGTCATCGTTCATTGTGGTTCATGGCAAGTGATGTCATCTTTCTGTGTGGTTAAGTGTAAGTGATGTCATCTTTTATTGTGGTTCAGTGCAAGTGATGTTATCTTTCTTGTGGTTAAGTGTAAGTGATGGCATCTTTTATTGTGGTTCAGGGCAAGTGATGTCATCTTTTATTGTGGTTCAGTGCAAGTGATGTCATTTTTCTTTTACAGTCGATCTGAGAATTATTCGGACAGTCAGTTAGCAATATATCTTGGAACTATGCAAAACACTTTCCAATCTAGACTTGATGGCGCCGTTGTATTGGCACGCCCACAATTAGAATCATTCCATTGTCTTGCAAGATGCTGGTAAAACGCTATTTTCAAATCGGCACGCGTTGGTTACCATATATTAACAGGTTATATGTTGTATATGCATTCAAAGTGTTAAATTGTTATAACCATCTGAGTCCACCTGACATAGCGCAATTTACAAAATAACTGCCGAGTGTTGAGTAACCCCAGGTATTAATGAACTTGTCGTTGGCGGGAAGGCTCAAAGTAAAGATTCTTAGCGGGACACGCTGCAGTTTCGTAACAGTTTGGAGCCAAACTAAAAGTTGTTTTCACATTACTGGTGCATTATGTATCAAATTCAGATTTTATACCGAGGTGAGAGAGTACATCAGGGATACACGGACGGAAAACTTGATTATAACAGTTTGATGGACTTTGTCAAATCAAAAGTGCCTTCCTTGATCGAATCACTTTTTCAACTGCAGTTTGAAAATGACAGGGTATAACGACCGTTATTATGTCTAGTCCATTTTTGTAACAGGTACAACTGACTAAAATGAGCGAGGGGTTAACATTTTTCGAGAGATTTAAGCAACACCCAACTTGTGATTTTCAAAATTACTGAAAATAATTACAATATAATTATAAAAAAATAAAGAATGGTTGCTGTAAACGCACACTAGATAATACTTGCAATTCACCAAGCCGACAACCCCTATGAAATAGTAATCCCAAACCACGCGCCCGTCACTCAAGTGGCGCCGACAAGTCTAGATTGGGCAAAGACCAAAGTGTTTTGCAAAGTTGCAAGTCATTTTGCTAACTGACTGTCCGAATAATTCTCAGAACGGCTGTAAGTGTTAGTGATGTCATCTTTCATTGTGGTTCAGGGCAAGTGATGTCATCTTTCTTTGTGGTTCAGTGCAAGTGATGTCACCATTCTTTGCGGTTCAGTGCAAGTGATGTCACCATTCTTTGTGGTTCAGTGCAAGTGATGTCATCATTCTTTGTGGTTCAGTGCAAGTGATGTCATTATTTGTTATATAATTCAGAGTGCAGTTATACACAAAATATTGCCTGGGTTCTAAATTAAGCAGACTGTAAATCTTACCTTCTCCAAGACAGTAAATAACAATTGTAGATGAGCTTCACAGAATTCCGAGCTAACCAACATAAATTTTGCTAATGCCATGGCAGCAGCAGTTTTCAATACAGAGTCTGAATACTTAGTATGGTTGCTACACACAGCAGTGATTAGTGGTGACAGCATTGCTAGTAAACTATTACCTGCATCAAAGGAATATTAAAAAAAGTTTAAATTATGTATAGCGTTTTTTGCCAGTAACTTTTTACAACATGTTTATGCATTTTTCTGTAATTCCTTTATTAGTTTTGTATGAAATGAACATATTTTCATATTTGCTATAGGTCTCGTTCAACATTAGTGATAAATTTAAAAAAAATTATCCAACTCTCACAAAAATTAGTAAATATTTTTCAAAAAGTCTGTTTACCAGTCACTATTTCAGTATCAAGGACTTTTTTCATATATTCGGCTTCAGCATCATCAGCTACAGCCCCAGTCAGACCCATATCCTCCTCCATGCTTGGTTCATTGCCATCCTACAGTATAGATAGAAATATTCTACATTGTTAAAAATCATTTTTAATATCTAGAAAGCTATGTACCTTATTGTATCTGAAACTTAATTTGTACAAGGTATGGCATTAGATATTATAATATATAGTTTTATATATACTTTTACCCTAGCTGGCAATGGTGAAAATTGAAAAATCCTTCCAAAGGACCCCATATCCATGGAAACTGTATCTTGACCTCTACCCAAATCAAATCAATTGGTCACAAGGGGAAAATCCTTCTCACAAATAGGCAAACCAAAACAGACATGGATATATTTTGGCATATGTATGATTATCAAATAAATCTATGTATATCTTATTGATTTAAACAATGATTATTGTGATAATTATATAGAAATGAATACCAATTTGTAGAAATATTTCCATTACATTTTATTGAATTACATTAGTGCTCCAAACAGATTGCTTGATATAATAAGTCCAATGCATCACCAATAACAGTCACACATCCTAGGACTTTGTGAGGAGACAAATTCACATTATTAATCATTAAGCCCAAACACTGGCTATTTAGATCATATTGAGAGTGAGAAAACCACAAAAATTTGTTTGTCTCAAATGTTTGATTTCTCCTGTCATCACAACCACTGTTCTAAATGCCATGGTTACATAGATCACAGGAACAGTAGACTTGACAACAGGAGAGAGTGGAAAACTATTAGGTGGACAATTTGCTGCTTGGCGGGCATTCACATCTATTACAGACACAATGTAAGCATTAAAATTGAAAAACTATATGGCAAAAAATTAGGTACAACATTGGGCCATTCCAGTTTATATCTGCACCCCCCCCCCCCCTGTTGATGAGCTTGTGTGTTTACTTCATACAGGGTATAATTTCCATGGGTGTATAAGTCATACAAAGTTTTATTTCCAAATCACCATTCACCATACAGTAATGGAAATCCAAAACTATAGTTTCTTACTTATGGTGTTGATGAGTTTCTTTGTGACACCATACAGAGTAGGATTTCCAAATATAACTCTTATATGCTAATTTACTAAGTTCAAAATTTTATATTTGACAATGGAAATCCAAACTAGTCCTGATTCACGGTATTGATGAGCTCATTCGTGCCACCATCCTTATCTAATTTCAGTAATAACTATTTCATACTGGCCCAATATTTTTACCATATACAGCCAGAATTCCAAGTTTTTTTAGTCATACTGTTGGAAATCCAACCTCAACAACCGGTATGTGGCAAGATAAATTAGGCCATATTTCATTTAGTAGCCATAACTGCCTGGATTTCCAAGATTTTTTTCCCCCCATACTGGAACTACTACCTTTAGGGGTCAGAAAGTACCAGGATGTGTGACCTTTAGGGGTCAGAAAGTACCAGGATGTGTGACCTTCAGGGGTCATGCATAAGACCTATTGATGTGTTTGACAACATTTATGTTATCCACTGCATCTTACACTCGCAATCCAGCAATTACTTACCTTGGATTTACGCTTATTTTTGGCTGCCTTGTTTTTCTCAGCCTCTCTTCTATTGTCTTGGATATTACGGCGTCGCTTCAGTTCTCCAAGCATGCTCACATCCAAGTAGTAGAGTTGTTGGAAAGCCACGTGTCCAGCAAAGGCCAGGAATCGTGCTAATACGCGAGGATGACATTTCGGTTCCACATTCTTGAGATCATCTGCTTTGAAATTCAAGTTAGTGTTGATTACTTTATTTTATTTGGAATTAAAGTAAGCAAGTCTCAGTATTACAGGTTACACAGACTCTTTTTTTGTGTCAGTGATTATTGACTTTTAAAATTCTCTGTTGACATAGTTTTTTTTTTGTGTTTTACAATATGAAATGTTCCTTGTTTTGCTGGAAGTGGACTGTGGAACTGAAGGGAAAATAATACTTGGCCGTAATACAAGTCACTCCTATTTGGTGTATAGCACCATAAACTAGGTAGCATGTAAAGGGGGATAGAACTACTACAACATGTCAAATTGTCTGTTACCTTGTTCACTGTCTCCAAGAACAACTTCTATAAGCTGTTTTATTATACTTGCACATCGAATGTCAGGCTGCTCACCAAGTCTATAAATAACATTGATGGCTTGTTCTGTCATGGGCACCCAGAATGGATCATCTAATTTACTAATACCTACAACAACAAAACATAGTGGATAACAAAATATGGAGTATATGTCTATGGAGTATATGTTTACACAATATATTGAAGGGAATTCAAACCACTAAGTTCTAAATCCAGTATAAAATTATCTTTTTTGCTGTAAAAAATATTAAAGTTGTAGTTATATTGTTGTATAAAACTTTGTTTGAAGGCTCTGACATATCAAGCAATAGACATAATATAATAAATGCAAGTATTTGCAAGATAACCATGTTAATAGCTGAAAATCAAGCAGTTCTGTAAACTTTGTTATAATTGAGTTTTCAGCATCTTAGTATGTCATTGAATTGAAGATCAGAACCACAAAATATTTAATGCAAAACTTCTTTCATTAAGATTAATTTGAAATGCGCACCAGACTTTTGAGTTTATTATATTATTAGGCTATTTTGCCACTGCATTTAAGAGAACATTAAAAGGGAAGAAAATACAGGGATGTTCCTGCTTGTACAGCATTATATATGTATCCTGAGACAGTAACTTGAAGAATTTGATTTGTAAATATTATTGGGTTAAAACTGAGCAGGCAAAACTATAAGTCTTAGCATGCAGCCATTTATGAGGCTTTCTCAGTTTGGACTGTGAAGGAGTGACGTAATTAATTCTTAAACAATTTAGTGATCTACATTAGTAGCTGTGCATGACAGGATTTAATGTAGTGAAGACAATACCGGTATATAATTATAAATAGCTCAATATATCCAGTTTCAATCACTGTACCGGTGTATTCAAGGACGATGACAACTTTACAGTTTAATTTTTTCAGTATTGTAAGTGCTTTCAACTAAATTTTGTTGATAATCAATTTAAGCACAAATTATCCAAATTTGTTGAATCAGGGAGGGGTTCACATTACAATTATTAAACATAACATATTTCCATGAACCAACATATGCTTCCCTATTCTATCCCGTGTCTATACAAATATTTGAAAGACTGAGACATGTTTCTTACCCTTGACAATTAATTCTGTTAATTTATCAAACATCTCATGATCTTTTGGGAAACGAAATGGTTCTTCCGCTTCTCCACCTTTGACCTGTGAACAAATAATACACATGTCAATTCATCTTTCCAGTCTTCTACGTATATCATTTTAACCTTTCACCACTAGACTTTCTTGTCAAGATTTTTCTGCACTATTTTCTTATATTCTTCAATAATTCTGGAAATGAACCTTAATTTTGGAGCCATCAGACAAAATTTTCAATTTTTATTCAAAATTTGGCTATTTTTGTCCCAATCTTCTGAAGGAAGAAAGTACAGACTACATGTATAAACAGGACTATTTTGTGATGAAAAAAGGAAACTGGTGGTGAGAGGGTGAACAGCATTCTAACTTGCTGCAGTTTATGCAGCTCTCTTGGTCGTGGTATACGTTGCGGGACGACCAGAGAGCTGCAGTTCCCTTCCCTAAAGAAATGCACAGATTTTTAAATATGCCAGTTATGTATCGTTAAAATTGTGATTGTAATAAAATTACCTCGACTTGCAGGAAAAAATAGACAAATATGTTCTCACAAATATATCTGTTACTGATTACAGCAAGCTTTAAGCAAATTTGCCCGTGTAAATGAGACTATTTCACGTTAAAACTGTGCCGAAGTGAAACCTCCGATTGAACGCCGCCATTTTGAAGCTGACCTCTATCACGTGACTTGGCTCTTTTAGTGACGAGTGTAATCGCGTGACTAAAGCAGACGGCGCCTGTCTGGGACAGCGCTTTATGTGACGAAACAACGACAGATGGCTTTTTATAATTTTAATTTCATTTCACCATTAAGTGACTCAAATAAAGTACATGTATTATTAAAAATATTGTTTTAAGCAGTTTTATTTATATAGTGTGAAAAATCTAAAAATAATCTTGTAACTTGCCAACGGGTGTAACAAGTGACAGGAGCAGACAGCATGGAATTGACAAAGGACAAAATTGTTGAGTCTTTTGACCATATTTTTAAATTTGACTTAAAAGCTCAACAAGTAGAAGGTACTACTTGTATTTTAAATAATATACACACATTGGCCACATTACCAACAGGGTATGGCAAAAGCATGATGTATATTTTACCACCAATGCTCCTCAATATTATGCGGAAAGAGACAGCAAGCCAACGGGGTAATGGGTTTCAGCTTTAGAACATTCACTAATGCATTGTCAACAGTTTCTGAGGTTTTAAGTCTAGATGCAATGGATTGCCTGCGATACCCTTTAACTTTCTTCTGGAACTCATCTCCACAATGAATACAAGAACCTGCCATTCTCAATTTTCAGTTAAAATGTAAACTGCGCATGCTTCGTCATTGTCATGTGCTCAGGTCACATGACAGAGGTCATCTTGAAATCCTGTCGTTCAATCGATTAAATTACGTTCGGTCTAATTATACACAGAAATATATACTTTTCAAGAAGAAATAGTCCTTCATTTTCGGTCAGTAGATACCTAAGATGTTTGTGTTTGCAAGGATAACTTTTATTCGTCTTAAACTTCATTGAAATCGTTCGATAACATCAAAAATAGCGTGCGCCCCGGGATGGCGAACTGTGCGGTTCTCAATGGACGCGATCTGCAGCTCTATGGCCGCGACGTAATATCAAAATAGCTTAAGCAGCCAATAAGAGCTGCTAAACTGCAGCAACATTCTAACCAATAACTAGTATGAAGTAGTAGCTCATTCAAAAACTATAAGCCCACAATTTGAATGATATAAATTAATTGCTGTCACCATTAAACCATAATCAGTACAGAACTGCAAGAGGCACTAATTAAAGGTGCACCACAATTCAGAAAACCCCATCTTGCTTACAAAAGAACTGAAATAATTAAAAAAAAATGTAAGTCACAGACCAATTTACAGAAAGGAAATGTTAAATAGAATGTATCTCAGACCTCAAATAGCATTCCATCCTTCATGAGGTAAACATTGGACATAGAGAATGGAGCATTGAGAATAGTCTCAGAGATCTTCAAAGCCATTTTCATTTAAAGTAAATTTTCAAGGAATGTTCAGTATGACAAAAAAATACCTTTTTTTTCTGTATGAGTTTAAGCAAGGCAATACATGAATCTCTGGCAAGCATAAAGTCATCATGGGCTCTCTCTGATAAACCAGTGCTAACAAGAACATCAATGTTACTACGTACTACGTTAACATCGCTTCTGTAAAAAACAAAAACAAAAAACAATTGCATTAATTAGTGTACCTTGTTTCAAAGAATTAATGAATGAACTGCTTGAACTGGTTTTATTTCTTGAATTCATTTTTCAGACAATTTGCTATAGCAAGGATCATTACATTGCACTGATCAACTGCTGGAATAACTAACTGGGCCTTTGATAAAATACTACTTACTTGGCAGCCATTGCTAACAAAAGCAATGCAGCTTTACTCTCATCTGTTGAGGTACCAGGAATCTTTAGAGTAAATCTTTCCCATAATACTTGTATTACATTGTTGTTGATTTCCTGATTCTCTACAAACTCCATTACCAAAGCTTCCAGTGATTTCAACTCTCCAACTGTGGCTCCGTGAATCAGTGCAGTCAGGTTTTTAACAACAGCCACTGATTGAGCTCTGTAAAAAAGGAAATTAAACAGTGCAGTCTGTGAGTTTTCAGGTTTCTTATAATAACATGAATGTGGCATATCACTCGCAATACACCAATTCACTAATACCTAGCTACAGTAATAGTAATATCTCATTAGGGCCAGCTGTTGTCTGTAGATTTGATTGGTTTAATAAAAATACTATCACATGGTTTGCCCTGTATATGTAAGGGTGGACAGATCATTACATTGGTGGGACAGATCACAGCATAAGATGTACTACAAAAGAATAGGGAAGATCACAGCATATGAACGGAACAATTTTAGTAGATATTTGTTGATAATAACATTGAAGTTATTGAACAAAAGGTTGAAGGGCGCTCTCCATTGATAACAAATTGACATACATTGTACATGTAATAAGGAAATCAAAGAAAATGCTGAAAGAAGGCAAAAAATCTCTATAAGATTAGTTCATGATGCCCAACACTAGACACTTCACCACTACGACTTTATCTTCCCTTCATCTATTTCTTGAGAAGTATGGCATCCTACAAAAGTTCATTACTTTTGTCTAAATCAACAATTATACACTTTTTAAACTATCTTAAAAAGTTGAAATCAGAAGTGCATGATTTTTTTCATTGGCTTAATTCATATCAACCATACATTCTTAATTAGTAATATTATGTCTCTTGTATTTATTACCAACCTATTATTGTTAGCAGTAGTATTCAAGTAGAGTCTCTTGTAAGCTGCAACAATAGCTTCCTTTACACTGGGTTCCTTAGACCAGATTAACGCTAACATCTGCCTTACTCCTTCCAGGGAATTACTCACACCAAATTCAAAAGCAGTGACAAAAAAATCAATGGCTTCCATAACATCAGACGGAGTTTTAGAACTCAATAATTTACAAATCAATGGTACTGCTGTCTGTATTTGACTTGCAAAGGAGACACAATCCTGAAATCAGAGGAGGCATATATGAGAATACTACCAGTGTTTCACAAATAATTGCTCTATTAGAAACACATGCATGTATGAATTCACTACTGTAAATGCATTAATCATTCACTGGATTCTAATTTTGCTATTCATTTTGTCTGATAGGAAAAAGTCGCTAAATTAAATCTACATGAACATGTAAAATAACTCATTTTCCTTGACAAATTCATGAAATTAAAAAACAAGGTGAATTAAATGTCAGTGAAAATAAATGGCATTACAGTATTGGATCTGTATATTATTAATAGCTTATGTTGAACAATGTATGAGAAGTATGTGTCATATGTAAAATGTAACAGTATTCGCAATATATCTGGTTATGTGGAATTGTTTGCAGTTGAACATTGCCAAGCATTTATGCAAATTCAGTTATGATCGAGTTTTCGGTATCTTAGAGTGTCACTAAATTTGTCGAACTGCAAACGAAACTGACATTTCAAATGTTTTTCTTTTTCAAAATTCAATGCGAAGCAAGCAGGAGATATTGCACGTCTCTCACTCATAACAAATCCAATGTATCATGTAATTCATTATAGTGAACACTTCACTATAACAAACTATTTATATGTCCTCAAACAGTTTGTTGTAAATACTGTACAGGGTAATGCTAAAATGCTAAAATTCTATTTTATATCAGCACCCCTTTTTTATTAATTTCAATCTCATTTTCATAGGTTGCGTGTTCAATTAAATGGAGCTATATTTGTCACTAGTAATTTATCATAATAGAGTAGAATTCAAAGTTAGCTTTTGAATTAATTACTGTATACTATCTTAGAAATTATGGCATACTTGTTTATTTGCTTTCAGAAATCTAGAAAATATTGTGTTACAGTGTCCGAGATTGAGGCTGAAGACAAGTGAGGTGAAGAGAATAAGGAAAAAAATCTATTACCAGTATTATAGAAAAAACAATACCTTGAGATATTGGACTAAGATTTGTTGTTTTGAAACATCATTAACAATGTCATCTTCTTGGTTAGTTGATTTCATAGTACTTGGTGATAGCTCTATTGGTGCAGGGATGGGACCTTCATCGTCGTCATGCCAACCTGTAATATTTAAAAGAAAATTATGAGATTTACTGTATATAGCACTAAGTAAATAGGTATTAAAGCATTCATTTTGAAGATGTTAAAGTATCTGTCTAAACTGTCGTTGATTTAACATTGCTTGGAGCAGCTAGTATTTTTACAGAGTTCGATGTAAAAATAATTCACAGAAATTTAAAGTGGAAAATGTTAGGATTTAAAAAGTCATACCAAAGCCTGGAATTTACTTACTAAGAAACACAGCCTTTAATGTGTTCAACACACGGATCTCTTCTTTATTCAGTTCAGAACTTGGTTCCAGAGACTCTGAACTGTGAACAAGTAAATGACACATAATAGCATTATTCAATTATTCCAATTCTCATCCAGAAATATTGTGTATGAATACCATTTAAAATATATCTCTCCATGGCACATGATTTTGTCACTAGTGATAGTGGTATCCATGGAGATCTAAGTGGCATAAATTGGCGTGTAGATTAAAATAAGTCTGTCAAATGAGACATCCATCATGACAATGTCTAATATTTGGGGTTAAGCAAGTAAATTTCTTAGGAGAAAAAAAAATACATCTAAGCTTTTACAACATTTCCACTGGCTCTTATAAAAATAAAGCCTTGGGATAATAAGTCAGTGCTAATGTTGAAATTTGATATTTGGTAAAGTACGTCAAACAAACAACGGTGGCCCAAACCACGGAAATAAGTGGCTTTTCCAAACCGCAGAAATAAATCACTTTCACATGAATAACTCTTACTTTTCTTCTGTTGATTCTTGCGTCTGCAGAAAACTGTCATCTTGACTTCCCAGTGGTGTGGTTCGGAATAACTCATTTCCAGGAAACTCTTCCATGGCGGACAACAGCAGTAATGTGGCTTGGTTGAAATGCTCCTGTTCAAGCAGCTTATAAATATCATCCAATACACTGAAAGAAAGTAAGAGAACTAAATATGATGAAATGCTTACATACTACCGGATTCTGTCGTAAATTTGCCCATTCGAAAAATATGATGGGCCCTTATTTGGGGTTCAAAATTTCAACAAGCCATGCATGGCACAGTCCCCGCTAGTTATTGAATTTAAGATATATAGTTTTGTTTATAGTAATATAGCTGGAATATAACCATGTCAGGAATATGATTAAAATGATTGACATTTGTATCTGAACAAACGAGTACTTGTCCACATTGAGAGATATTGCTCTGGAACAGCATTAATTAAAACAAAATCAGCCATTTTTAATACATATATATATCTATAATATGATGTATAATGAATATATAAAATTTGCACATAATAAGTCAAAGCATGTCAGAGATATGGCTCTAGAATCCAATTCATTAAAGCAAAATGGCTACCAGTCAGCCATTTTGAATCCAATCTGAAAAATAAAATGATGTGCATCAGGAACCCGTAATGTCCAACGTATGTACCAAGTTCTAACGAAATCCATCCATAAATGTCAGAAATGCTTGATATTTGATGATTTTTTAGCACAAAAATGGCAACCATTTGGCCATTTTTAATAGGATCGTCAAACCAATATATCTGTATATCTATGACATGATGTATAATAAATACTTAAAATTTGAACATAATCAGTCAAAGTAAAAAAATATGGTACTAGAACCACATTCATTAAACAAAATGGCCACCAGTCGGCCATTTTTAATCTTATCTGAAAAACAAAATGATGTGCATCAAGGTCCTATAATGTCCAAGTTTGAACAAAATCCATCTGTAAACAGATGAGAAATGCTTAATTTTGATGAATTTTCAGTACAAAAATGGCTACCATTCGGCCATCTTGAATCAGATCATGAAACAAATTGATTGACTTCACACATACATCATACATGACAATATACATTAATATTGTCATGTATGATGTATGTGTGAAGTTTGATTGTGATTGGTCTAGGCATGTCTAAGATACAGGTCTGGACTCGCGCACACACAGAGGTCAAAACATAAGTCCCCGTTTTCGGACTGTGTCCGAACAGGGACTAAAAATGATCATCAAATATTTGGGGGGGGGGGGGCTTATATTTTCATTGAAAATGCACCTATGCCAACATTCAACACCGGCAATTGGACCATCCAAAACTAAACTATTGCAGAAGCTAATCTAAAATTTTATACAATTTTTTCTTGCTGGACTAAAAAGTAGACCGCGCATCTTTCTCCAAAAAAATCACCTTAATGAACCTTGTGCGCCAAATGCAATTATTTTTTATCCATTTTATTAGCAAATGATCGCGGCAGCGCAATCCGGTCATGCTGCGTTTCACAATTGTTGATTATTACCTGGTAATGATTATAATAACGTGCAAAAAATAAATTTCAACTTATTTCATTGTAATCAAAATGAATATCCGCCAGGTTTTGACCTGGGCCTGTGTTCTTTGACCTGACAGGTCAAATCGCTAATTAACCAATGAAAATGATGGATGATGCTAACGTGTTCAAATTACAATAGCTCATTTAAATATGTTAATGTTATTGAATGCAGCGCGAAAGAGATTTGCTGATGTTGTTGTACGATCTTTTGGCTTGGATTTTGATGGGAAAGCGGCATGATTTGTTTTTAAATAAAAAAGATAAACTGAGCATTTGAAGATTAATTTAAACATTTATAAACATTGTTTTCAGGGGTAACAGCTCATTGTCGAAACAAAGCTTACCCATTCACGCTAGTCGCAATAAACATCATACTCTTGAATAGGCTACGGTGAAACTTTTAGGCATCAGAAAAGATTAAAATAACACCTTAAAAAACTGCCGAAAAATTGTCCCATTTTATTTTTAGAAAAACCCAAACTGCCGTTCAACAGCCCAGGGCGAATTTACGACAGAATCTGCAACCTTTTCACAAAATAGTCCCGTTTAAAATCTACAATTTCCTTCAGAAGCCTGGGACAAAAATAACTTTTTTGAGTAAATTGACATAAATTTTGTCTGTTGGCTCCAAAATTATCGATAGGGTTCATTTCCAGAAATATTGAAGAATACAAGAAAAAAAAAAAAAAACAGAAAAATTTGGGTGAGAAAGTGTGGTGGTGAAAAGGTTTATATAGTGCTATCATGTAAATCCAGAAAAGTATTCATTTTACGTCTATTATTCAGGTTCAAACCATATGAATAGATTTTTTAACAAACACAAAATTCACTGAGGGCCATAAAAGTTATCGCCATGAAGCCCCATCTGAATGCCATTAAGCTGATTTCAAAATAGTCAGCTATTATTGAAACAAGATCATTCATTTTAAGGTAATCTACCCCAACACGTCATCTGAATATTAAACTTGAAGCCCTCAACTCAACTTCCTTGAAAGCATACCTTTTATCAGGCTTTTCTCTAAACTGCGGAACAAGGGTGCAGCGCCCTGATACTCTTGGCTGGTGCCCTCTTACCGAATTGCCGATTGAACTTTCAAGTCATAAATATATTTTTTTGAGCTGCGCACTTCCGCACTGCCGTACAACATGAAATCTTTCTCAAATGTATTTTTCTCTGTGAATACTTCCCAGCAACACCAGCTGACAATGTGTCTGGACACCAAATACAATAAAATTACTCCAAAAATATTTCAATGGCGATAGATACAGCGTTAAAACGGCGCAGAAACTTTCCGATACACTACTCAGACAGTACGCTGTGCATAGACCTCCGCTGTGTGCTGGTCGATATTCCAGCTGTACTGTCTTTGTGCACACTTTGAGGTATTCTCGTAATAACCTCATATTATTTAACAAGTATGCAATACCAATAAATGCAATTTATGTGTGCTCACAATACAGCAAATTTTAATAAAACTTTTTTAACTCGCCTATCAACATCAACATCTCCACTGAATTCTTGTTTCTCAGTTTCAGATTTACATACTTCCTGCACTGCAACAGTTACATCTTTCTCAATTTTATTCCAGGTGTCTACTTTGGATCCAATTACTGAAACAAAAAAATAGCAAGATGGAGCAGTGTCCAATGAAAGCATACAGTTATAGTTAGCCTAGTATCGAGATGGTGTTCAACTTACTATACCCCACTCCACAAAAGCTTGAACTTCATGGAGGCATCAAAGGCAATTGCTTCGATGCCCTAGAAGTTCCCCTTGGTACTTTTTGAAAATTACAGATTTTTTGGATACTATTTCTTTATGCCAAGGCAATTATGCCTTGGAAATGTCAGCATTGTGAACTCTGCTGCACTTCATTTAAATATTGTGTTTGGATGGCTGCTGCAAAATGCCCACAATACAATTACAATGTAACAACTACTACTATGTATAAAACCGTTTTATACTCGGATACATTATAACAGTATCAGTCTCACAAATGAGCTTACATGGTAACTTACTTTACATCCTGGAATCAAAACATGATATTTAAAACCAGTGTTAGACCTAGCTACAATGCCGGTAATTATTAACTGTTGTTCATTTAATGCTGATTAATCACTAGAGATCACATAATTATTATGATGTCATCCCATAGTGTGTAACGTTGACATAATTAGATATTACTAGCATTGTAGCTAGGCATTAGTC